GTTGGGGTCCGCAGCCTTATCTATGAATCATTTAACAATTATAAATAAATGCCAACAAAAGTCTCGTAATCGAAATTGATTGCTGCTTTTTTACTATAGGGGTCCTTAAAATACTTGATTTCGTAAGGGATCTGTGGACAAAAAAGATTAAGAAACGCTGACTAGCCTTAAAAATCGAGTCATTAAAATGAAGTAAACTTTACATTGTGTTAACGCCCGTATTCATAAACATTACTATGAGGTTTCACAGTGCGTGTGGACGCACAGGGTGACACACGAACCAATCAAAGAGCTCTATATTCAACGCTGTGCGTTCGATTTGCTGCTTCACTTGCAAGCATCGTTTGTGAATACGGGCGTAAGCGTGTTAAGCCTTCTATTCTTTCTTCAGGGTATACCGCAATATTTTTTTGGGTGCTGATTCATTCTTCGACCTCTACATCAACCCGATCAACGGCCTGATGATATCCTTAGCCGGTGTGGCCATAGCCTTCGTGCAAAAAGACCATCACGAGCGTGGAGTAGATATAAGCAAGAATAAGGTAAGTGAAGTGGATGCGAGAGTACCTTTTTTTCGGAGTAAAAATGCTGCGGGGAGAGGTCACCAAGTCAGAAGGATAAAGGCATACCCACTAAAAAGATCCCGGTGCTCCGTCATTCGCATTAAGTGGGAAGGAAGTGTGGGATTCCGGAAAAAGCCTTCACTACCATAGTCCCTCCCAGCGATTGCAAGACGGGCCCTACTACAGACCCCCCAGGAACCGTAAAAATTATTTGCCTTTAGCTTGTTGCCCATTGTCCATTTAAAGGCATTACCAATAGTTAGTTAGGCTATTATCTTCCTAGTATTTTAAGATCCCTGCTACGTCTGTGCGCTTAGGATAACGAGTACCTACTTACTTAACTAATTACTTAGTCTACGCAACAGAAAGTGATAAATAGAATATAACAATAGCACCCGTGCGAAACGGGGGCGGGTCATCATCGGGCGGAAGAAGAAAAAAATAAAAACAAGAGTAAACTGAGTAACAAGATGACATACATGGCTTATAACATAAGCTTCCCCCAATGATTTTCACGTCGCCCGGTTGATAACTGCCTGCATCCAGCGACTTTTTGCTACCTTTATAAGGTCGTAGGTCACTGTATCATAATAGGCAATACAGTAGAGTGAGATCAGTAAAGATGTACTGTTTTTTTTTTCAGTTCCTGGTGATTCTACATTATTTATCAATGCCAGCATTATGCCTATGGTGGTATCTATCCTACGCCTACTTCAGGCACTTTGACCACTCAACTCAGAACGCCATGGTAGTTATAGAACGGCTGGTTACCACGGTGCACCAGAGCTTCATAGTATATTGCTTGATAAATATTAAAGGTAAGCTAACACTGTATGTACTGTCCTTGAAATCGATAGCTTGAAAAGGAACTGAAAAATTAATTAGGGCTGTTCCACACAATTCAGCGCGCGGCGAAAATAAAATACAGGTTGATTGTGCAATCAGTATCCATTTTTTTAGGGTTCCGTAGTCCTGACAAGGAACCCTTATAGTTTCGTTATGTCCGTCTGTCTGTCTGTCTGTCCATCCGAGGTTTTGCTTGGAAACTATTGGCACAAAGGCTGTTATTTTGTGGAGGTATGTATATGAATCACGCCGACAAAACGGTCAAATAAAATTTTGAAAAAAAAAAACATTTTTTCAGGGTAGCTCCCCTACATATAAAGTGTTACCTATTAAAATTTCCTTATGAGCAAATATTAAAAGTGACTTTGGATGAAGTAATTGCTTGCTTCTGAAATATATTGTCAACTACGGAACCCTACTATTTTTAATAAACTCTATATAATAATTTTATTTAGGAATACTTACAACTTATCTTAATTATTGTTAACTAGCTTTTGCCCGCGGCTTCACCCGCGTGAAATTTTTAGTTAGTCACAGATCGTCATAAATTATAGCCATGTTATTCTGGGTCATAAACAACAATACTGTAAAATTTCATCAAAATCCGTTCAGTAGTTTTTGCGTGAAAGCGTAATGTTGACAATGTGGAATGTTAACATCAAGATATCCAGACATCCATACAAACTTTCGCATTTCTAATATTAGTAAGACGTGGTTGTTTTCGCATAAAAATGTTGAAAATCTAATTCGCGGCTGCCTGCGTGTAATTTACATCAAACGCACTCACTAGTTTGATGTAAACTCACACTAAGCTCTCTGATGACGCTCCTAAAAATTTGGACACTGATCATTGCAAAGTCAGCCTGTATATGAAATGCCATAACAAAGACGTGTTGCGAACTTTTTGACCACTTTGAATGTCTCGATCTTATTTAATACAGACTGTACAATAAAGTGTTGTATTTCAGGGTTCTACCACAGCGTGTTCTCATGGCGAGGGCTCCGAACAATCACGAGGCTATCCTTCTCAGTTTCCATGTGCCATTGGTGCATCAACGTTTTGATGCTGACCAACCGCTGGACTCTACATGACTCGTCCCCGCTGGGTATAGTAAGTATCTGTATATCGAGACATGTTCTTATTTCTTCTTTTTATGTTTATTTTAGATGTTTTAGTTTAAACTCCCGAAATGGTTTAAGCAAAGATTTCTGAGGATATAATAAGGGTTGTTTTTTTAAATTTTGCTTGTTTTTAATAATTTGTTTTTATAAATTTTTGTGTAGTTTTTTAGTGCAGTAAGGTGCAATTGTTTTCGCAGTTTGTGTAAAAACAGCTCTAGATTTTTTATCACTGTATTGTTCTTCCTGAAAAAGCTCTACAATTTACATGTTTTCAGACTACTTAACTTTAAAAAATGCATTCTAACGAACTCAATAGCACACATTAATACATGGAATCTCTTTTTTTTTTCAGATCCTGGATTTCATCGGAGTGCACATACTTTCTCACATCGTCGCTCTGCCCCTGACTTTGCTTGTGGAGTATCCACTGCAAAAGTTCCTGGACAGAGCCATCAACTTCAGTATACGATCGAAGGAAAAGTCCCAGTGATTCTTCAATCCGCCTACAACGTCTACTATAACTATACAGGGTGTGCTATTTTTATTCTTGATCAAATGAAACAAAAAGGATTTATTGCACTGTCAAATGCAACAACTTTACCAATGAGCGAAGTTCCAAATATTTGAAAAAATACATTTTCACACAAATTATCGTCAGGTAAGCAGTCATTTACAGGGACGTTTTTTTAATTAATTTTTTTGAGAATTTGTTATAAATAAATTGATCCTGTAGGAAAAGTAGTCGTATTTGAGTAGCAGAATCAACCCTTTTTTATCAACCATAAAAATAATACACTCTGTAGTCTGCACTTTATAAACAAAACATTAGATTTTAGATATCTACATTGTAACTTAGACTTAGCAGGGTAAACGTAAGCCCAGGTGTAGGAAAGACATCAAGCGAATAAGGATTCAATGCTGCACATACGGTACATTTTCATGTCGATTCGATATCGAAACTTACAAAGTAGAGACAGCTCGAGTCGATGAAATGATGCCTTATGCCCAGTGACAACCTTATGCTTTGCAGCTTACATGCCCTAAAGCCTGGAGTCCACTGAAACTCAATCCATTGAGATTACCTTGTTTACAAATTCAAATTCAAATTCAAATTCAAAACGTTTATTTGCTAAAAACACAGTAATACAGGGTGACAATATTAAAATAGGATCATGTGTTTAGTCTGATCGCAGACGTGCAAAAATTATAGGATTCAATAATATAAATGTCAAATGATTAAAAAATGTCAATGTAAAATTAAATTAATAGTACCTATCAATGTCGCTAGTTAAAATATTCCTTTAAAATATTCCTTTCACAAAGACTTTTTGTAAAATATTATCTCTCCATAAAGCATTAGCTTCGGTGGACAACTGTGCTTAAATTCTATAGTGGCAATAGAGTCGATAACACAATATTATTTTATTTAATTTTTGTCACAAAGACTAAAATTGGGACTCTATGTTAACTGCTAAAAAAATTGTAGTGTTTTTAATAAAAGATTGTTATAACATTGTAGTTTTCTTTTACCGACAACCTCAGATCATAGAAAGGGCCTGAGGATCTGCGCCGACAACCCTGTTTTACCATTGAGTATTAAAACATGGATAACAATAATTAGGTATTTCCTAAACTTCGCAGATTAGTGTCTACCTATCCTATACTTACTTAATTAGGGGTAATTATACAGGGATGGAAACGTAATTAAGTGATCTCACTCGATTATTTCTAAACTAAACAAGATATCAAAAAACAAGTTACTGATCCTGAAAGTGCTTCATGAGCTCTATCAAACGGTATCAAATTATAGTTTAGAAAGAAAAGTGAGATCACTTATCATTTCCACCCTGTTTAATACACGCCCTTTGTTTCACGTGCCTATCCTACCTTACGTGATTTAATCTCCCCGACCGATTAGCAAGCTGAAGTGGCAATGGGCAGGGCATGTAATAAGTACGCAGAACTGACGGCCGATAGGGCAGCAAAAGGTTCTGGAGTGGAGGTCACATTCTGGAAAACGCAGCGTGGGACGTCCACCCACAAGGTGGACCGACGACCTGATAAAGGTAGCAGGAAGGTGCTGGATGCAGGCCGCTACCAAGCGGTGATGATAATGATGATGGCTAAAATAATTATTATTCAACCTGCAGCCGTTACCCTACCATCCAAAAAAAGAGGGTTATGTTTTTAGTGTATTTAATCGACCTCGACGACGTATTAATTAATTAACTAAACTCGCCGCCGCGGCGCCGGGTCAGGTAATTTAAATAAAATTACACAAAACTCGAAAAATCGATTATTTATTAATCGATAATACGATTATCGATAATTTAATTGATTTTAATCAATAGAATTATTATCGATAATTTAATTACTTTTTTTTCGCCTGTCCCGCTGAAGCGAATAGAGAAAATAGGTACAACACTAATAATCGTTCATTCATTTCGACGTCACGTTCGGTCTTATCTGTCAAGCAAGCTCGCGGCTCGCCCACATCGACGTCGGCCATTTTGAAATTTTCTGTCGCTTGACAGACCGGGTGGACGAATAATTTGTGTTTTATTCTTCTACACGGCAATATTTATTGCTAAATTTGTGTTGATGAAGTGAATAAACAACTAAAACCATGGCACGATACGGTCAAAGACCGGAAAATGCCCTCAAACGGGCCAGTGGTTAGTACACATCTGATTTACACATATTACCACGTTGCATGCTTGCAGGATGACTTTTACTTTGCTTTATTTCATATTCTTGAGCTCTAGAGATAACAATGAAGGAATAGTGTATCAAATTTGTGTATTTCAAAGATTATTTCATATGTTGAAGCCTCATTAAAAATTACGTAAAATCATAACCCAACCAATATGTCCTTCAGTAATTTTCCTTATCAACAGAATTTATGGACTTGGACAAGCCCGCACGGGCTTTGGACACCTTGCAAGAGGTGTTCCGTAACAAGAAATGGGCCTACAACTGGTCAGAATCGGTGTTGGAACCGATCATGTTCAAGTATTTGGAGCTTTGCGTGGACCTTCGCAAGTCCCATATTGCGAAGGAAGGCTTGTTCCAGTATCGAAACATGTTCCAGTCCGTGAATGTTGGGTCTTTAGAGCAAGTCATAAGGTAATTTACTTGATGTATTTTGTAAATAAATAAACAAGATTTCAATTCCTAAACCAGAGTTCTGAAACCATTCAGCAATAAGATCTTACACCCTTATTTTTTGCTAAAGCTATGATTATTGATAAAATATTTGTTCCTGTGCACAAAATTTTTTACCCATATTAAACAATAAAGCAGTGTTGGAATTGCGCTCTTCGAAAATTATTGTCTATGGAAGATAAAAAGATAGTATTTCTTGAAAAATATAGTACGTTAGGTAAATAGGGATTTAAATGAAATAATAAAGTTTAATTGAATAAAGAAACCTTTAATTAAAATGTTATTGGTCCAGTTCTCATAGCAAAAAGTATTTATAAAAATAAGAATCTTAAGAATGGTTGAGAATAGTATATTGTCTATGGAATGTTGATACCATTTCAGCAATTTCCTCTTAAATAAGTTGCCAAATGTAAAATTTTAGCTTCAAAAAAGGGTAAATGGAACGGAATAAAATAATATAGTATTATCTCGTACTATCTCGTAATTAGGATAGTATATAGTATTTACTATGAAATAATAGTACAAATACTATAATTATAGTACGAATTCCAACACTGCAATAAAGAAAATAATAAGTATCTTTTTTTTTGTTATGAAAAACAATTAGTTACACTTGCACTAAAGGTTAAAGGCTCCAAATCATGTAAAACCGATTTTTAAACCCTCTCTTACCTTCTAGTTGTTAAAATGTTACATTTGAATACACAGAGGTTATTTACGAATGGCTGAGGAGCGGACTGAAGCAGCCAGAGCACAGTCCACGCAGGCTGTCATCGAAACCGATGACTTGGATAACCTAGCCACTCCGGAAAGTATACTCCTCAGTGCTGTATCTGGTGAAGACGCTCAAGATCGATCCGATAGAACTATTCTTACTCCATGGGTAAGTAAGACCACGGTGTTGGTGAGATTCGACGTACGTACAACAGCACATCAAACTTAACATTCTAGCTTCATAAGTAGTTGCATTAGATGCTATTTTGCCATAAAATGTATTCTGATGTGCTGTCGACTGTACTACACCATAAATTAAGTAATAAAGTTGCTCAAATAATTAATTATCTCAATCTTACAGGTGAAATTCCTCTGGGAGTCCTATTGTCAATGCCTAGAGCTGCTCCGAACGAACGCTCATGTGGAGACTTTGTACCATGACATCGCTCGCATGGCCTTCCAGTTCTGTCTGAAGTATTCCCGTAAGACGGAGTTCAGGAAGCTTTGTGATAAGCTGCGTAAACATCTGGAGGATATTTGCAAGCCAACCGTAAGTAGTCATTAGCCTAGCCTATTAGTATTTAGATAATCAAGACTGTTGTTGTAACGTTTTGAACCTCTAAATTAAATCCCATTTCTAACATATCCATTGTTACGAGATGGTAGGCCTTAGAGGAAAATAATAGTATCATATTGACGCGACAGACTGTCGAAAATCAACAGTTTGTGTTTTATAATATGATACATTTACCAGTACATGGCTAAGAGAGCTTGAAAATTGGACAGCTAAGACTCTGGAATCTGTTATGTAGCAGAAGTTACTTGATTTCTTGTTGAAAGAAAGAAAAGTATTTGTTTGATGCGAGTATTAAAAGCAGGACAAGCAGCAGTTGATGGACAGGCTTTCACTGGGTGAAATGACAATGTGTTGATGGTTGCGAGAAGCAATAATTATTGTAGAAATCCTTGGGGAGGCCTTTCTCCAGCTGTGGATGTCCTACAATTGCCTAAAGTGCTTTTAATTGTCTTAAAACACTTGCTAATTCTAAATTGTTTATGTGTACAGGTGCAAACTGGAAATGTGAGCATCTCCAAGCCTGAGACTCAGCAGCTCAATCTGGAAACCAGACTTTTCCAGCTGGACAGCGCTATCCAGATGGAATTGTGGCAGGTATGTATTGTCTTTAGAACCATAATAAGAAAGATTATTATGTTAGATCTCCTAATAAATAGGCCTTTTAAAGTTTGATGTGGATTATGGTGCAGAAACAAGTCAATGTCGAAAGATATTTATTGAAAAAAATGTTTAATGTTATGTTGGTAGGGCATTGTAAGTCATGTTTATTTAGAGATATTTTGTCCCCTACTTTTTATTCTGCATTTTATTGTAATTTCAATGAGGAATGAATAATAAATGAGACTGAATGTGTGACGTGAAGTGTAATGTGGTAGTGAAAGAGCATTGTCCTTTAATTGAAAGAAACTTAAAATTTCTTATTGTTATTAAGCCTTAACAAAAGGCAATAAAGTACAATAATGACTGTCAAAAACAAAATCTACTTCATTGCTATCAACCTACACCAATAATTACCTGTGTGTCAGATACTGCACTATCTAATGGATGCAGGAATCTGAGGCGAACTGTAAGGAAAATAGAATCGATCACAATAGATTGTTACCGGTTGTAGTGCTACTGGGACTTCGTAGAACCAGAATAAAAATGTATTATTTCACTATCCAGGAAGCCTACAAAGCCATTGAGGACATCCACAACCTCATGAACATGTCTAAAAAGACTCCGGTGGCAAAGACCATGGCCAACTACTACGGCAAGCTGGCGCTGGTCTTCTGGAAGGCTGGCCACTGCTTGTTCCATGCCGCTGCTCTCCTTAAGCTGTTCCAGCTGTCCAGGGAGATGAAGAAGAACATCACGCAAGAGGAGTTGCAGAAGTAAGAAACATTTTTGTCCTTTTACTGTTTTTACACTGTAATTAACGCCCGTATTCACAAACATTCATATGAGGTCTCACAGTGCGCGTGGACGCATAGGGTCACACACGAACCAATCACAGAGCTCTATTCAACACTGTTCGTTCGATTTTCTGCTTCACTTAAGCAAGCATCGTTTGTGAATTCGGTAAGAGTGTGCAAGGCGCAATTTCTAGATTCTTTCTAGAGAATTCTAGTGCTCAAATTTTTATCATTTCATTATGACTTACACAATTTTTAGTAATAAATATTTCAAAAAAATATAATGCAAAATAACATGCTTCATAGATAGAGGCTCAAAGTTGACAATGATTTCATCTAAGCTTACGCCCGCGCCCGCAAGATAACAGACTGAGAGACAGTCACTGGCATTTTAATATTAATTTGGACACAAAAGTTAGGAACGGCTCAAAAACTGAACTCCGACAAACGTTACTTCGATATTACGTTACTCCGACACTACTGAATATCGACATGACTTCGACACTACACTACTTAGACCAAGGCGAATATCCTTTATCGGAGTAGTTTAGTATCGAAGTAAAGTCATGTCGATATTCAGAAATGTCAGAGTAACGTAATGTCGAAGTATAGTTCCAAAATACTGTCCTATCGATGACATTGACAGCGGGGCGCCACCGTCAATACCGAATCGCTGGTTCCGATTTTTGCCATGTTGGAAACCATAAAGTTGAACGATGGTAGCGCCCCCCTGTCATTGAGTTTGGCGGGACAGTTCAGCGTGGGTCATCTATAACGTTTGTCGGAGTTTACTTAGGTAGCCGTTAGGAACTACAATTTACCATTATGCCTGTTCCTCAGGATGGCTTGCCGAGTGTTGGTAGCAGTGCTATCAGTGCCGCTGCCGTCGCTGCATCCTGAGTTTGACCGCTTCGTCGAAACCGACAAGAGTCCAGTCGAGAAAGCTCAACGACTGGCTGTATTGTTGGGGCTGGCTCAACCACCGACTCGCACCAGCTTGCTGAAGGGTAAGGCTTTCTTGCTTTTTTGATTTGATCATCATCATTTCAGCTATAGGATGTCCACTGCTGAACATAGGCCTCCAATGCTTTCCATGTTACCCGGTTGGTAGCGGCCTGCGTCCAGCGCTTCCCCGCTACCTTTACGATGTGGTCGGTCCATCTTGTAGGTGAACGTCCCACGCTGCGTTTTCCGGTACGCGGCCTCCACTCCAGAACCTTGCTGCCCCATCGGCCGTCAGTTCTGCGTACTATGTGCCCTGCCCATTGCCACTTCAGCTTGCTAAGTGGTATTTTGATTTGATCCTCTAAATTAAATCCCATTTCTAACAGCTCCATTGTTATGAGATGGTAGGCCTTAGAGGAAAAGCATTATCATAATGACGCGACAGATTGTCAGAATTCAACAGTTTGTGTTTTATAATATGTTACATTTACACCTATATGGCTAAAAGTGCGATAAAATTATGCAAGTAATGCCCGTTTTCACCATCAATCCCTAATTTTTAAGTGACCCCTTTGAAAACAAAATTCCTGTTATGTGTTACCATAGGGATCACTTAAAAATTAGGGATTGATGGTGAAAATGGGCATAAGGCCCATATAATCTGTTTTGTAGCAGCAGTTACCTTTAGACTATGATTTATTTTTCTATAATTTGGTAAGTAATTTAAGCTTTGGCATAGGACCAAATTTTAATGATTTCTAAAGTGGTGTAGATGTCTTAAGCAACAGTTTACTATGCAAAATACATTAATAGTGGACTTGCAGAAATAGTTACAACTAACTCTGTTAATACCTCCAATAAGTTAGTTAATTATTTGCTTGTGTTAGAAAGTTGATTTACTCCAATAGTCCCGTCTACAGAGATCGAATAAGGCACCTTCGAATGAGGGTTTTCGCGAATGAAAGATCCGCTAGATGGCGGGACGTGGATGTGGGGTCTGACTGCTGCGTGATTGGTGGATTTTGACATATCTGTCAATGTCATGTCAAAAATAACCAATCATGCAGCATTTGGACCTCGCGTCTACGTATTGCCATCTGGCGGATTTTTCATTCGCGAAAACCCTCATTGCGACTCGGTAAAATGATCTTGACACAATTGGGCAACAGTAACTGTTGCTCTAAAAACGCGTATTCTTTTTCCTCAACGTGTTACTTTCACCAGATATGCCTGGTAATCCAGAAACAAACTAACTTCCAACCTGTTTCAGACGTGGTTCGCCTCAACGTGGTGGCGCTAGCGTCGCCGCAGCTTCAGCAGCTGTATTCGTGGTTGGAAGTGGAGTTCGACCCGTTAGCCATCTGCCACAACGTCAAGGGCGTCATCAAGTCTCTGCAGGAGGAGCCCAGTAAGTATTCCAGCAGTTAGTTCTCGGGTCAGTAAAACTTTAATTTCGAACTCCTCCTATGTTCTTCTGATTAATTTCATTGCGGGTCCTATGACAGTTTAACTTTCCCCCGGGACAAACTTGGCCTTCATTGGTTGGGTTTTTATGGCGGTCAAGCCGTAGATCCTGGCTACACAGGAGTTGCAGTGGTGGGAACAAGAGGTGGGAATAGTCCCGAAAGTTAACTCTCGGCGCCAATTGAAGATTGAAAATTACGAGATCGTCATGGGCCAAATAGGTTTTAAACAAAGTGGCAAGACAAATAAAAAGAAGTTCATTTTATGTGTCTATTTATCAAGTTGAATACCTTAAGGTGTGGCGCATGATAATCAGTATCATTTAAAATTTAGATCAGTGAAGTATTTTTGTTGTAGGATCTTTTTGTGTTTGATTTCAATTCGCATTGTAGGCCGGTTTAGGCTTCGTTTCCACCAAAGATAGCGAAAGATGTTTGTCAAGAACCAATAGAATCGCTTCACTTACCTCTCCTCACATCTCTTGATGGAAATAGCCACACTGTCTTAGGCTAAGAACTCATGGCGGGATTTTCACCCGCGCCCGCGGCGGTTGCGGGCCCGCAGATTCTGTATAATGCAGATAGTACTTACGTAAAAACTAATGCCCAAACTCACGACGCGGTTTTCGCCCGCAGCGGGCGTGATTGTAATCGGGTCCCGCTCGCTAGCTACACGTGAGTTCTTAGAATAACCGCCCAAAGAACCGTTCAAGTGAGTATTGAAATAAAGCCGCAATTCCACAACCGCCGTGGGTGAAATCGCGTCGTGAGTTCTTAGCTTTACAGGTTCGCTACACATCCTCGCTTCACTAATGTTCTAACCTAGTATTTGAACCTTACAGACTCCCCGCTGGCCCAATACACCTCGGCCCTCAACGACGTGGCCCTAGTGCGTCTCATCCGGCAAGTGGCGCAGTGCTACGCCTGCGTGCAGTTCGCGCGGCTGCTGCAGCTGGCCGCCACCGACGACCTGTTCCACCTCGAGCGGCTGCTGGTGGACTGCGTGCGCCACAACGACATGCAGATCCGCGTCGACCACGCCAACAAGTGAGTGGTGGAGTTAGAAGCACAAGTAGACCAAGACAGCAAGCGAGTAGGGCGGGAGTTACACGAGGCACAACGACGTGGCCTCACAGACTCCCCGCTAGCGCAATACACTTCAGCTCTCAACGACGTGGCCTCACAGACTCCCCGCTAGCGCAATACACTTCAGCTCTCAACGACGTGGCCTCACAGACTCCCCGCTAGCGCAATACACTTCAGCTCTCAACGACGTGGCCTCACAGACTCCCCGCTAGCGCAATACACTTCAGCTCTCAACGACGTGGCCTCACAGACTCCCCGCTAGCGCAATACACTTCAGCTCTCAACGACGTGGCCTCACAGACTCCCCGCTAGCGCAATACACTTCAGCTCTCAACGACGTGGCCTCACAGACTCCCCGCTAGCGCAATACACTTCAGCTCTCAACGACGTGGCCTCACAGACTCCCCGCTAGCGCAATACACTTCAGCTCTCAACGACGTGGCCTCACAGACTCCCCGCTAGCGCAATACACTTCAGCTCTCAACGACGTGGCCTCACAGACTCCCCGCTAGCGCAATACACTTCAGCTCTCAACGACGTGGCCTCACAGACTCCCCGCTAGCGCAATACACTTCAGCTCTCAACGACGTGGCCTCACAGACTCCCCGCTAGCGCAATACACTTCAGCTCTCAACGACGTGGCCTCACAGACTCCCCGCTAGCGCAATACACTTCAGCTCTCAACGACGTGGCCTCACAGACTCCCCGCTAGCGCAATACACTTCAGCTCTCAACGACGTAGCCTCACAGACTCCCCGCTAGCGCAATAGACCGCAGCCATCAACGACGTGGCCTCACAGACTCCCTACTAGCGCAATACACTTCAGCTCTCAACGACGTGGCCTCACAGACTCCCCGCTAGCGCAATACACTTCAGCTCTCAACGACGTAGTCTCACAGACTCCCCGCTAGCGCAATAGACCGCAGCCATCAACGACGTGGCCTCACAGACTCCCCGCTAGCGATACACCTCGGCCCTCAACGACGTGGCCCTAGTGCGTCTCATCCGGCAAGTGGCGCAGTGCTACGCCTGCGTGCAGTTCGCGCGGCTGCTGCAGCTGGCCGCCACCGACGACCTGTTCCACCTCGAGCGGCTGCTGGTGGACTGCGTGCGCCACAACGACATGCAGATCCGCGTCGACCACGCCAACAAGTGAGTGGTTCCTAAATTACAAGCCTCACAGACTCCCCGCTAGCGCAATATGACGTGGCGTCACAGATTCCCCGCTAGCGCAATATACTTCAGCTATCAATGATGTTGCCTCACAGACTCCCTACTAGCGTCATAGACTGCAGCCATTAACGACGTGGCCTCACAGACTCCCTACTAGCGCAATACACTTCAGCTCTCAACGATGTGGCCTCACAGACTTCCCGCTAGCGCAATACACTTCGGCTCTCAACGACGTGGCCTCACAGACTCCCCGCTAGCGCAATACACTGCAGCCATCAACGACGTGGCCTCACAGACTCCCCGCTAGCGCAATACACTTCAGCTCTCAACGACGTGGCCTCACAGACTCCCCGCTAGCGCAATACACTTCAGCTCTCAACGACGTGGCCTCACAGACTCCCCGAGCCCGACATGCAGATCCGCGTCGACCACGCCAACAAGTGAGTGGTGTAAAGTCCGGTCGCCGAGCCGCCGAATTTCGTCCAATGACCCCAAGTTACCCATCCTTATCGCTCGCGCGTAATTATATTGCGCTAACGTCACTACTCGCTCGTGAATCAAACATCATAGGAGAGTACGCCGTGCGTGTTTTGTTTTCGATGCCTACTCATGGAGATGAAGAGGCCTGGAGTTACCAAATATTAAATGTAGAGTCAATAGATGAATGTAAAGAGTTTAAAATCCTTTGTTTTTGTCTAGATGCGTGCACTTCGGCGTGGAGGCTGGCGGCGGCGAGTGGTGTTCTGCCGCCGACGAGGCCTGCGGCGGAGCCATTCTCCAGGCAACTCCGGCTGAACAGGTATGTTGAAGCTTATCTTTTGTTGGTTAAATTTACTTCTTAGGCCTCAGCCTCGAGTTTAGCGGGCAGCGGGGCGGGAGCCGGGCGGGCAACGCAGACCCGTTCTCGAAACAAGCGGGCAGCTCGCGCGGCACTTTAGCGGCGAAGTGTTGTGTTCGGGGTTGTGTTGTCGAGATATTTGTTTTTATTCGCAAACGAAATGTCTGAACAACGGCGACAATTTTATTTCGATTCAAATTTATTCCTAACGCTCGATTTATTGTGGGCAAAAGAAGGAGTGCGCTGCCCGCTCGTTGCCCGCTCCCGCGCCGCTGTTTTCGAGAACCGGTCTATTTGATTTTACGCATAAGATCCTGCCGCTCCCGCGCCGCCGCCGCTCCCGCCCCGCTGCCCGCTAAACTCTAGGCTGAGGCCTTAAAGTCATTAACCTGATGTCGCAAGATACAGACTAATGCTGGTTTTCTATATTCAGTCCTAATCCAAACCCGTCCGTCATCTGACAAATTTCAATATGTTTTTGGTCAAAAATATATTTTTTACGATGTGACATTCTGAACTTAAAGGGTTTATAAGGCTATTTAAATATTGTTAAAGTGTAACCGCGACAAAAATTATGGGTATTTGATTGAAAACAGATCCGGAATTGGACAAGAATTGAATATGGGAAACGGGCGATCATTAAGGCTGGTTTTAGTGTCACACGGACTGTCAGTGCGGATCGCTGCGCACAGCCGATCTGTATGAACTGGGAGCGGAGCGGTTCCTCCGGACCGCATTACTCTAAAACGCTCCCTAGAAGTTCATATAGATCGGCCGTGCGGAGCGGGTCCGCACCGGACGGTCCGCGTGACACTAAAGGTAAACCAGCCTAATCTGATATTATGTCGTCAGACAGACAAAATTTTCATAAGTAAGAAACTGCAAATGACTGTTTTAAATAATAAGTGTGTGTGAAAGCTTGTGTTTCAATACCTACAGTTTCAAAAACCATATTTCAATCGCAGGTCCGCGAGCAGCTAGTCCGCGCCGCCGAGGTCCTATCCCGGGCGGTCACAACACTATTCCCGGAGCGCCAACGCGCGGCCCGGGAGCGTGCTCGCGCGCACATGGTGCAGCACTACCACGAGAACAAGCACGCTGAGCACGCGCGCGTGTTGCAACGCCACAAGATCATCGAGGAGCGCAAGGAGTATATTGAAAGGCTGAATACTGTGCGCGAGGAGGAGGAGCTCAGGTGGGTTCGGCGAGCGCAGACGAACGTGACCGAGTTCGGCGAGCACGTCCGAATATGGTCGAGCGAGTTAGGCGATTATCACACTGCGCCGCGCTCCGCCACGGTACGCGTGACGACAGATTTAATTATTGTATGCAAGTATCTCAGTTTGTATAGAAAACACGCGCGGCACTACACACTTAAAACGCGTCTGCGCGCGGGATTTTTTATATGAAATCACGCGGAGCGCGGCGCAGTGTGATAATCGCCTTAAGCCCGGTTTCCACCAATCAGTCAGATTTAATTTTCCACTTCTTGTCTTCGCTCCGTACAGCTCGGCTCCGCTTTGGTGGAAACTGGGCTTTAAACTATCGCGTCCGAATGTGGTCCAGAGAGTACGCTAATCATGGTCGAGCGGATTCGGCGAGCTATCAAACGAAACCTTGTCAGTGGTCAGGATTATATCACTGTGTTGTACCATTAATCAATCACTGAACCAGTCACCACGTTTCTGAAGCACTATTTCTCATAAACATCCACCATTTCACTCAAGCAAAATCTGAAAAAAATCTCAAAACTCATATTTTCAGCGTTCCAATGAGTGCTAACGAACTTTCAAATAGTTTAAAAAAACTTTTCTGTTTGACGTGACGGCGACAGCATCGCGCATCTCTTTTTATCGCACAGTGTTGCTGCTATTCTCGGGGTATATTAACTTTATGATCTTGCCTTATAAACAACCTCTAATTCGATTAATGCTGAGCGGGCGCTTTTTTGGCACAAAATAACTACTTATTTATATTTATAGCCTGTTATTATTTTTGTTTATAGTGTGTCGAATAAAGATTTTTCTATTCTATTCATTCCAGACGCCAAGAGGAGCAGCTACGAGCGGCCGCCGCAGCCGAAGCGCGTCGCCTCGAGCAAGAAAGAGAAGAGAGGGAGAAGAGAAAGCATGCTTCCGAGCTCGCCGCCATGAAGGAACGCCACCGACGCGAGCGCATGGCGCATATCTCGCAGACCGCGCACGGCAAGAAGATGCTGCAGAAACTGGATGAGGAGGTCTGTGATACTTACTTACTTATCTATGTTACAGTCAAAACTCATTATTAAAACCACTTATGACTGCAAAAATCAGTCCTCCTCCTCCATGCCCTTCAATATCACTTTTGACTGTTTGTTCTAGTCAAAAGTTTTTTTTTAACTTAACATGGCAAATATTTGACCACAATCGCACCTGGTGTTAAGTGAGATCCAGCCTAGGATGGTACATAATATTAATATCTGCCCTGTAAATGCCTATTCACTCTCGCCTTGAAAAGGTCCGGATTATAATGTTCGGGAATAACAGCAGCAGGCAGCGAATTCCAGTCCCCAGCTGTTCACATTTTAAAAGAGTTTAGTGCGAGCTGGTGGAATGTCATCTCATATTCAAAAAGTTTATTGCTTGCGTAATGTTGTTCGATCTTAAACTATGATCATAGACTCAATGAACGGCTAAAGATAAGTCGCTTAAGTGAAGGTTTTGTTTTAAAAGTAAATTTTAAGTCGCACAATAAAATAAAGACGTGTTTTTTTTATTTTTTATTGTAATATTAATGTACCTTTCTTTATTAGGAAATCAAAAAGATGGACGCCGAAGCTATCGCCCAGAGGGAGGCTGAGGAGTTGATGAAGGAGCGCCGCGAGCTGCAGGCCAGGCTCAAGTCGCAGGAGAAAAAGGTATGTGGTGCTTAATAAAGCTGGATAATATTAGAAAAACTGTTTTATTTGGAGAAAGTAACTTGATATTTATGATCAATATTTAAATTCTAAAATTTGTTGAGCGCGTCAAAGCGTCGTCACATCATGTCCATATTTTATTTTCCTGACCAAACTCTCAGATTTAACTATCTAAAATACACTGAATACACACGGCTACACTGTTAGCTATCCATTTCCGTTTTTGCTCTCGCTCTTATCAAATGACGATTCTTTGCGATAGAACGAGACGACATGACAGGCAATGGATAGTTAACACTGTTGCCGATGGTACGTACAGTGTGGGCCTCAGTTCCAGCTAAAGACCGGTCGCCGTGCACATAGAATTTCGTCCAATGACCCCAAGCTACCCATCCTTATCGCTCGCGCGTAATTATGTTGCTGTCGCGCCCGCACACTCACTGCGGGCGACCAGACTTTACCCATTTACGTTTGGATTTCCTGTGTATTTTGAACTCTGTTATTTACTTACATTGCATTAAAAACAATCCTTTTATGTGATGGTGATCTATTCAGTTTCCTCCGGTTGATTGCTATAATCAAATGTTTGTACAACCCAGGTGGACTACTTCGAGAGAGCCAAACGCCTGGAAGAGATCCCACTACTGCAGAAGAGTTTGGAAGAAAAACAGGTGCAGGACAAGGCCTTCTGGGAGCAACAGGAGAAGGAGCGCATTCAGCAGCTCATCGGTCAGTTTGCGATTACATATTTGGAATTCAATTTATTTGTTGCCTAACGCCCGTATTTACAAACATTACTATGAGGTCTCACAGTGCTCGTAGACACACAGGGTGACACACGAACTTTTCACAGAGCTCTAAATGTTGTGCGTTCGATTTGCTGCTTCACTTAAGCAATCATCGTTTGTGAATACGAGCGTAGGAAAAAAAATTTCGGTGATTTTGAATATTCTTTATAGCAAATAATTGTGTTTGCTGTCTGTATCTGTGCAAACGTAAAACTTGATTTTATGAACTTTTGAAGCCGATAGTAATTAGTTAAAAAACTTGTTACACTTATTTGTATACTATTTTACGCACTCGTTTCGTCATTCGATTTCTCTAGTAGTTTCCTAGATTTGTATTTTGATGAATTCGAATTCGTTATCGTTATTCAAGTAGTCAGGGACGTTATAAAATCTTTATTACGTATCTTGTGTTAACCATGTTAAAATGTATGTAAAAATTATGAATTTGTTGGGGTACCTAATAAATAAAATCAAATCATTGTCACAGAGGCGCGCTCCCGCGACGTAGCTACTGCCACGCGCCTCGCCCGAATGCACGAGCACCGAGACGAGTTCATCGCTCGACTTCAAGCCGAGCGCGGCGCGGCCCACCNATACACCTTGGCCCTCAACGACGTGGCCCTAGTGCGTCTCATCCGGCAAGTGGCGCAGTGCTACGCCTGCGTGCAGTTCGCGCGGCTGCTGCAGCTGGCCGCCACCGACGACCTGTTCCACCTCGAGCGGCTGCTGGTGGACTGCGTGCGCCACAACGACATGCAGATCCGCGTCGACCACGCCAACAAGTGAGTGGTTCCTAAATTACAAGGCTGACAGACTCCCCGCTAGCGCAATACACTTCAGCTCTCAACGACGTGGCCTCACAGACTCCCCGATAGCGCAATACACTTAAGCTCTCAACGACGTGGCCTCACAGACTCCCCGCTAGCGCAATACACTTCAGCTCTCAATTACGTGGCCTCACAAGCTCCCCGCTAGCGCAATACACTTCGGCTCCCAACGACGTAGCCTCACAGACTCTCCGCTAGCGCAATACACTTCAGCTCTCAACGACGTGGCCTCACAGACTCCCCGAGCCCGACATGCAGATCCGCGTCGACCACGCCAACAAGTGAGTGGTGTAAAGTCCGGTCGCCGAGCCGCCGAATTTCGTCCAATGACCCCAAGTTACCCATCCTTATCGCTCGCGCGTAATTATATTGCGCTAACGTCACTACTCGCTCGTGAATCAAACATCATAGGAGAGTACGCCGTGCGTGTTTTGTTTTCGATGCCTACTCATGGAGATGAAGAGGCCTGGAGTTACCAAATATTAAATGTAGAGTCAATAGATGAATGTAAAGAGTTTAAAATCCTTTGTTTTTGTCTAGATGCGTGCACTTCGGCGTGGAGGCTGGCGGCGGCGAGTGGTGTTCTGCCGCCGACGAGGCCTGCGGCGGAGCCATTCTCCAGGCAACTCCGGCTGAACAGGTATGTTGAAGCTTATCTTTTGTTGGTTAAATTTACTTCTTAGGCCTCAGCCTCGAGTTTAGCGGGCAGCGGGGCGGGAGCCGGGCGGGCAACGCAGACCCGTTCTCGAAACAAGCGGGCAGCTCGCGCGGCACTTTAGCGGCGAAGTGTTGTGTTCGGGGTTGTGTTGTCGAGATATTTGTTTTTATTCGCAAACGAAATGTCTGAACAACGGCGACAATTTTATTTCGATTCAAATTTATTCCTAACGCTCGATTTATTGTGGGCAAAAGAAGGAGTGCGCTGCCCGCTCGTTGCCCGCTCCCGCGCCGCTGTTTTCGAGAACCGGTCTATTTGATTTTACGCATAAGATCCTGCCGCTCCCGCGCCGCNTACAAATAAGTAGATTAATTATTTTTTCACTAGACAGCAACCCTAACAGCGTAAGAAGAGTTCAGAGGCACGCGATAGAAAGAGACAAAACTTGTAGGTGAATAAAATTGTAGGTACGTAGTGCTGTGCGAGCTGAATTCCACTGTATCGCGTCGTAGCAAGACTCGCATTTATTTAAATCGTCTTGCGGAGTAGGTAATCCTTCTGTACCTGTACTATTACTTATTCTGTGCCCACACACTTCCCCGATTTCGCCCTGTCCGTACCAGAGCATCGATGTGACGTCACGGCTGCTACGTGCGCAGTTAACTCGACTGGGTTGTATATCATCATCATTTCAGTCACAGGACGTTCATTTCTGAACATAAGCATCCAATGATTTCCAGATTGTTCGGTTGGCAACGGCCTGTATCAAGGGCTTTCCTGTTACTTTAAGTAGTACACCTACCATAGAGCCTACATAACGCGGTCATTTAGGGCCATGGCAAGCTGCGGCGAAGAGAATTAATTTTCTTGCTCAAAAATAAATTTTACTCATAATGCATTATTTTATGCTATGCCATTTGATAAATTTACAACATGAGGCCTAATAAATTTATATTTCTCTTTTTATCTTTACATTCATGTCATGAAAGAGTAAAGATGTTCCTTTTGAATTTTACTCAAAGATGTCTTATTTTATCAGGAAATCAAAAAGATGGACGCCGAAGCTATCGCCCAGAGGGAGGCTGAGGAGTTGATGAAGGAACGCCGCGAGCTGCAGGCCAGGCTCAAGTCGCAGGAGAAAAAGGTATGTGGTGCTTAATAAAGCTGGATAATATTAGAAAAACTGTTTTATTTGGAGAAAGTAACTTGATATTTATGATCAATATTTAAATTCTAAAATTTGTTGAGCGCGTCAAAGCGTCGTCACATCATGTCCATATTTTATTTTCCTGACCAAACTCTCAGATTTAATTATCTAAAATACACCGAAAAGAGCTATTTACACACGGCTACACTGTTAGCTATCCATTTCCGTTTTTTCTCTCGCTCTTATCAAATGACGATTCTTTGCGATAGAACGAGACGACATGACAGGCAATGGATAGTTAACACTGTTGCCGATGGATGCACATAGAATTTCGTCCAATGACCCCAAGCTACCCATCTTTATCGCTCGCGCGTAATTATGTTGCTCTCGCGCTCTCACACTCACTGCGGGCGACCGGACCTTACCCATTTACGTTTGGATTTCCTGTGTATTTTGAACTCTGTTATTTACTTGCATTGCATTAAAATCAATCCTTTTATGTGATGGTGATCTATTCAGTTTCCTCCAGTTGATTGCTATAATCAAATGTTTGTACAACCCAGGTGGACTACTTCGAGAGAGCCAAACGCCTGGAAGAGATCCCACTGCTGCAGAAGAGTTTGGAAGAAAAGCAGGTGCAGGACAAGGCCTTCTGGGAGCAACAGGAAAAGGAGCGCATTCAGCAACTCATCGGTCAGTTTGCGATTACATATTTGGAATTCAATTTATTTGTTGTCTAACGCCCGTATTCACAAACATTACTATAAGGTCTCACAGTGCTCGTGGACGCATAGGTGACACACGAACCATTCACAGAGCTCTATTAAATGCTGTGCGTTCGATTTGCTGCTTCACTTAAGCAATCATCGTTTGTGAATACGAGCGTAGGGAAAAAAAATTCGGTGATTTTGAATATTCTTTATGGCAAATAATTGTGTTTGCTGTCTGTATCTGTGCAAGCGTAAAACTTGATTTTATGAACTTTTGAAGCCGTTAGTTATTAGTTAAAAAACTTGTTACACTTGTTTGTATACTATTTTACGCACTCGTTTCGTCATTCGATTTCTCTAATAGTTTCCTAGATTTGTATTTTGACGAATTCGAATTCGTTATCGTTATTCAAGTAGTCAGGGACGTTATAAAATCTGTATTACGTTTCTTGTGTTATAGTACGAGAGCCCACGACCAAAACCATGTGTCATAGCAATACGGCAAAAACCCTATAAAATCGTTAGATTGTATGATTCTGAACCCGACTAGGTGTGTAGTAACGGTCGAAAGTGTAGCAACTGAGTGGGAGGCCATTTCTGCTGTGTCAAAAAAAAAAGACAGTCGGTATTATAGCAATACGTCTGATAGTGAAAATGTACATAGATTTTATAATTGTATTACGAAAAAGTTTGTTTTCAGACATTTTGCGCGTAGCATATAGCCTGTGCGCATTTTTGAAAATGTCAACAAATTTAGCCGACCTGTATCATAGCAATACGGATAATTATTTTTTTTAACTTTTCGTATTGCTGCCATGATTACCAAAAACCTGTTTTCAGACACTTTAAGTGTATCAAAAAGTTGTATGATAGAGAAAGTGCTACACTTAATTTGTCTGATATAAATTTTTTGCACATGTGGACAACTTATTTTATTATGTCCAACAATTTTCAGACATATTGCTATGATACCGATCGGTAAAATTTGTTAACATTTTCAAAACGGTCCCAAAATTTAATGCGTTCACATTTTCGTCTGAAAATTGTTTTGTTCGCATCAAATAACCAAAATTTACTAATAAAAAAGATTTTCAGACGTATTGCTATGAGACATTTTTTTGTCTCATTTTTAATATTTTTAGGTGATTTTACGGGTTTGCGCTACACCACTAACGTCTGAAAATAATGTTTCCGGTATCTCAGAACTATCATTCAACTACAGTCTGCAAATCAGACATATTGCTATGATGCAGTTCGGTAAAATTCTTTGACAATTTTGAAAATTCGGTCAGATCAAACGCTACGCGGAAAATGTCTGATATTGGTATTTTCGAGTTCAGGATAATCGTATCTATCGATTTGATGCGGTTTTGGCCGTATTGCTATGAGACAAAAATTTTGGTCGTGGGCTCTCTTACTATTAACCATGTTAAAATGTATGTAAAAATTATGAATTTGTTGGGGTACCTAATAAATAAAATCAAATCATTGTCACAGAGGCGCGTTCCCGCGACGTAGCTACTGCCACGCGCCTCGCCCGAATGCACGAGCACCGAGACGAGTTCATCGCTCGACTTCAAGCCGAGCGCGGCGCGGCCCACCACCAGCGCCTGGCCGCCTTCCGCGACAAGCTCGCCGCCGAGCGCGACAAGCGGCTCGCCGAGCGCCGCCGAGCGCGCCGCGAGCAACGCCGCCAGGAGGTGAGACACGGAGAATCCCACTACTGCAAGACTAAGAACTCACGGCGCGATCTTCACCCGCGCCAATCGAGTCACTGGTACAAAATGGTCGCCCGCCGATCGATCGCAGAGCATGCGGACGAAAACCGCCGAGGCTGCGGTGTTGTGCATTAGTTTTTACATAAGTATCTGCTCTCTACAGACGATACGGGCGAAAATCGCGCCGTGAGTTCTTAGCCTAACATTCCTGAATAGCCAGGCCGCCGCCAAGAGCAACGTTAGGATTAGGAGCAAAGCCCGCACTATAGCTCTTAATAGGATCATCGCTAGCACCAGCCTCTAGCCTCCTTCCGCGACAAGCTCGCCGCCGAGCGTGACAAGCGGCTCGCCGAGCGCCGCCGAGCACGCCGCGAGCAACGCCGCCAGGAGGTGAGACACGGAGAATCCCACCACTGTAACTCCTGAATAGCCAGGCCATCGTCGGGAGTAAAGCCCGCACTATAGCTCTCAATAGGACCATCGCTAGCAGCCTCTAGCTTCCTTCCGCGACAAGCTCGCCGCGAGCAACGCCGCCAGGAGGTGAGACCCCCACCGTTGTAATTACCTCTTGGACTGGCTGCTGTCATAATATTGTTGTGCCTATTTGATTTTCGCCATTTTGGCGCTGTAGGCCATACCATACCACGTGTGTCCATGGAACTAAAATTAGTGATTTTCTTTTTCGCTTACTCCTATGGTTACTCCATATAATGCACGTCAAAATTAGTTCTCAGAACACTCGTAGTGGCGCTTCAAATTGGCACACAAAATTAGCTGTCATTTGTATCAGACAACCTGTCCAGTGTGTATAGAGGTCAGTGCACCATTGTAGCCCCTGTGTAGCCAGGATCTTTATTAGGACACTTGCGCGAAGACGCAAGTGAGAAAAGCCATTTGCTCACATAGACACTCGGTTCGGCCATTGGCTCATTCGTCTGATCATGCCCAAGGAGATACAAGGCTTTGGCCGGAGAGCGCCTGCTCGATAGGTCACTGTCAATACTCCCAATTATTGCCCGGCTATCGAATGAACCATCGATAGCGCAAAATAATACTATTTATTGATAACATCAATATTGTCGACAATATTGCGTGCTTTTCGAGTTCAAATATCGATAGCTTAGCATCTCAAGGTCACACACGCTGGAAGTTAGAACAACAAAGCCTGAGCTGGTAGGACAAGACTGCTGAAGTTGCAGGTATAATCAGATCTCTGACAACTTTGAAATAAAAACTCACTGAACATAAGTCAAATATTGTCTTTCTTGTTTTTTTTACATGTTAAAAAAACTACCAAATTGGCAACACTAAAGTGAGAGTTGATAACGCGGGAACTCCCCGAAATCGTGCGCTGCGTCAAATTTATTCTTGTTATTCACATTGTTGTATTTGTAATTTTGGTGTTGTTACGTGTTATTGTAGTAGTTTTAAGTTTAACAATGAATGGACGAGTTAACGACCCGATCTGGCAATACTTTGGAGAAAGAATAATGTGCAATTCGTGCCGCAAAGAGTTGCGCTCTTTAATAACAGTATGTATTTTTATTTTCTAATTTTATGTTTCAATAATTAGAAACTTGATACAAAAGAACTCATTTTGGAAACGATTTGACCTGAATTATTTCTATTTAATCATTTAATTATTATTTCTACAAGAAATAAGTTATGAGCTCCACATTTTATTATTTTAATAATTATTTTATGTGTTCTCCTGTGTAATTATTTTTGATTGCGACTTTCTTATCTACTCAATCTTATCTACTCAACCGATTAGACGAGATATCACCACAATTCATTTAAAAACAATAAATGCTATGTTTAGCAGTGAGCATCCTGTGACTAAAATGATGATGATGACTGACATATTATTTTATGTACAGTCACAGAATGAAAAGGTTCGTCAGTTTTCAAATTGATTCCTTCAACGAATCGCGAGCACATATTACCTTTTGAAACTATGTTGCAGAATAATCTCGAGTTAGAGAAAATGATCTTTAACTGTTCGTCAGTAAAGTTCAAAATAATTCAGATCAAAGTTGTTTGACGATTTATCTTGTCAAGAAGATTATTATGATTGATAAACTAAAACCTTCTTGTTGATTCAACCTGCCATTATTATTTCTTTTAAATAAAAAAAACTATTGTCAATTGGTCAATGTCATCATTGCATTGCACTGATGGGATAGAAAAATAAACAAGCAAAACCTTATTCGTTAGCAAACGTCATATTTTTTTAAATGTTAGCAGCACTGTTTCTTGCACTGTTATGTTGGCAGGTTTGACTCTCACAGCACCTAGTGCAAGCGAAAACCGACACTAAGGTGACGAACCTTTTCATTCCGCGACTGTACATATGGAAATTCGCTGCCTGCTTACTGTCTTTCCCGAACACTATTATCCGGGCCTTCTCAAGGCGAGAGTGAATAGGCACAGGGCAGATATGTACCATCCTAGACTGCATCCCACTTAAGAGCGTTTACGCCGTTTGGCGCAAAAACAGTACTTTTTTAACTCGTTACAATCATTAACCAGTAATACTACAAATATGTTATAGGCATAAATAGTTAGGCAATTTCGTCGTCTAAATAGTTAATTGAGAAAATATTGCGATTAGTTTAGTATTTAAGAATTCTATCAAGATAAGTCCACACAGGTTTTGTAAATTTCCACTTTAGCGTCAGTTTACAAGCTGAAATTTTTATAAAAATACTGTGAAAACGATTTAACAAACATTTATATCCTATAGCATAGATCCTTGGGCAAATAGTTATCTGAGAAAATTTTTAGATTTAAGCATTTTACAATAAGAAATCACAAATTAAAAGAACGTGAAATACCCAAAAATCAAAGTGATTTTTTCACCAATATTCTTCCTTTATTCAACATAAAAATAGCTTAATATAATAAAACAACATCTTCTTTAAAATATTTACTTTGAAACGATATTTAATTCATTGTTATTGTTTTGCTATAAACATTTGAAAACTATTAAAAAACGCCGCGCGCGAATCATTTCCAATGATGCCCCTTGAAACGCCGCGCTTCGCGTAAACGCTCTTAACACCAGGTGCGATTGCGGTTAAACACCTGCCTTGTGCATAAATAAAATGATTTCTTTCCCCAGTGGCTGGCGGAGAAGCAACGCGAAGAAGAAAGGATCGCAGAAGAAGCTCGACGCGCGAAGGAAGAAGAGGAACGCCGCGAGAGAGAGGAGCGCGAACGTCGTCAAGCCGAGGAACTGGCCGCTCAGAGGGAGCGAGAAAGGGAGAAAGAGAAGTGAGACTTAATACTACACTCGGCATCAAATAAATCGCACCTCCCGCGACAAGCACTTATCAAACGTATGCATCCCCTATTCCCACCAACGTTGGCACCATTTAAAAGCCTAGTTCTAATCTTCATTTCATTAAAGGAAATGTTTTTACCCCGAAAATGTGTCTTTAGAAGGATCCAGAGCCACTTCTTCAAAAAATTGGTAGTTACGCTAGAGCCAACTTTTGTGGCTATAAAACTGTTAAGTTGGGATTAATCGCTATCCATCTGTTAAAGAGGTCACGTGAGATCATTAATTGGTTTTATAACCATAAAAATTGGTCTAGTTGATCCCAGAGGTGAGCCCAAAGTGAGGTCTTTTTTCAAGTCACATTTATAGTATATGTTAATAATTTATTAAGAAATTAAATGTGTTTTTCTCTAAGGATATTTATCGGGCTTTCAAATAACACCAATATTGTGGGGGCACCATGATTGTGTCAGAAGAAAATCTTTAAAGTTCGCGTCGCGGAAGGTGCGGTTTATTTGATGTTGAGTGTATATTGCCACCGTATTTTAAACTTTATTCACTAAGCATAACGCCGCGAGAGAGAGGAGCGCGAACGTCGTCAAGCCGAGGAACTGGCCGCGCAGAGGGAGCGAGAAAGGGAGAAAGAAAAGTGAGTCTTTATACTATACTAGCGGCCGCCAGCGACTTCGTACGCGTGGATCCCGTTTTACCCCATTCCCGCTTTTCTGTTGACATTTTTCCCGAATTTTCTTTGCAATAAACCTCACGGAGCCCGAGACCTTTCCAACGAATGCAAAACCGTGGAAATCGGTTCGTGCGTTCTAGAGTTATAGCGTCAGGTAGGAAAACCCGACTTATTTTTATATAGTAGATTGCGGTACGGACGGACGGACGTATTTTAAACTTTATTCACTAAGCATAACGCCGCGAGAGAGAGGAGCGCGAACGTCGCCAGGCCGAGGAACTGGCTGCTCAAAGGGAGCGAGAAAGGGAGAAGGAAAAGTGAGACTTTATACTATACTAGCTGACCCGGCGAACTTTGTTCCGCCTTAATGGCAATAAATAAGCAGACTTTTTTTAAATTTCGAACGGGATAAAAAGTATCCTATGTCCTTCTCCTGGCTCTAAACTACCTCCCTGACAATTTTCAGCTAAATCGGTTCAGCCGTTCTTGAGTTATAAGTGGTGTAACTAACACGACTTTCTTTTATATATATAGATTGCCACGGTATTTTAAACTTTATTCACTAAGCATAACGCCGCGAGAGGAAGGAGCTGGCCGCGCAGAGGGAGCGAGAGAGGGAGAAGGAAAAGTGAGACTTTATACTATACTTTACTTTACTTTAGACTTACTACGTAAATGGAGATGGGCAGGACACATTGCACGGATGAACCAGGATCGCTGGGCCAGAAAGACCCTGGCCTGGAGTGGAGACCCCGCAACAACACCCGCGGCAGGGGAAGACCGCCTAAACGATGGACAGACGATATCTGGCAGCAGGCTGGAGTGAACTGGATGCGTGTGGCCAGGGACAGAAAACGGTGGAGGGTTGAAGAGGAGGCCTATGTTCGAAGGCGAACCCAAAGGCTGACATAGATAAATAGATACTATATTGCCACCGTATTTTACACCTTATTCACTTAGAATAACGCCGCGAGAGGAAGGAGCTGGCCGCGCAGAAGGAGAAAGAGAAGTGAGACTTTATACTATATTGCCTCGGTATTTTAAACCTTATACACTTAGCATAACGGCGTGAGATCCGCGAGCGTCGCCAGGCCAAGCGGAGGAGCTGGCCGCTCAGAGGGAGCGAGAAAGGGAGAAGGAAAAGTGAGACTTTATACTAAGCCGCCTCAACGGTATAGTGGCAATAGATGGATAAAGCTAAGCAGAAGGCATTTTTTGTAGCTGTAGTAAATGTTATTTTGAAACAAAACTATAGTTTAAGGCTATGCCCTAATCTGTAACTATACTAAAAATTACTTTTTGTTTTGTTCCCCCAGGGAACACTTGGAGATGCTCTCCCGCCAGGAAGCCAAGGCCCGCGCGAAGGAAGCCGACGTACAGCGCAAGCTTGAAGAGCAGAAAGCCGCCACTATGTCCAGCTGGCGCCGTGGTGGCGCCCCCGAAAGCAAGGAGGACGCCGGCGGCGGCTGGCGCTCTAAGACCGACTCCAAGGCGCCCGAGAAGAAGCCCGAGCCCTGGCGCCCCAGTGAGTACTATAACTAGCTCGAGCAGAAGGCGCCACCATGTCCAGTTGGCGCCGTAGTGGCGCCCCCGAAAGCAAGGAGGACGCCGGCGGCGGCTGGCGCTCCAAGACCGACTCCAAGGCGCCCGAGAAGAAGCCCGAGCCCTGGCGCCCCAGTGAGTACTATAACTAGCTCGAGCAGAAGGCGCCATTGTGTCCAGTTGGCGCCGCGGCGGCGCCCCCGAGAGCAAAGAAGATGCCGGCGGCTGGCGCTCCAAGACCGACTCCAAGGCGCCCGAGAAGAAGCCCGAGCCCTGGGGCCCCAGTGAGTACTATAACTAGCTCGAGCAGAAGGCGCCACTATGTCCAGTTGGCGCCGTGGTGGCGCCCCCGAGAGCAAAGAAGACGCCGGCAGCTGGCGCTCCAAGACCGACTCCAAGGCGCCCGAGCCCTGGCGCCCCAGTGAGTACTATAACTAGCTCGAGCAGAAGGCGCCACTATGTCCAGTTGGCGCCGTGATGGCGCCCCCGAAAACAAGGAAGAAAGATTCCTTTTTTAGCTGACCAGTAGGCGCCACTGGCATTTCCAATGAGACTTACTCGATTGTGGCGCCAGCGTTCATTGACGTCACTATCTTAGCCACAAGCAAGTGACAAAACATTAATCGCCAGTGGCCACTACTAACTCTCACTTACTATCGTACCGTTTTCTGTAAGATAGCTGTATGTATTTTCATAGAGTTCATAGGTAGTTGTTAAGATGGATTGAAAGTAAAATAATAATGAAATTGCCACCCCACAATGTTGGGGTTGCCACCGTTTTTTTTTTTTTCGTCAGGAAATGCATGAAATTGCATACCCACTGGCCCGGGGGACCCAGTAGGTTATGTGAGGTTCTCCCTGTCAGATGGGCAGGAGCTACTCACTAAAACCTGACGGTGTCCTCCCAAAATCCGAGCTGGACGGCCTAGACATTCGCGGCTCTGCCCCAGAGGGGTTGCTACCAGTTGTATCTTGTTTTTGCTACTTGCTAACGTGTCATTTATCCTTAGGCCGCTTGCGCGAGGGCCCGCGTGAGGACCGCGTGCGCTCTCCGGAGCGAGGCCGCGTGGACAGACCGCGTGACGATCGCTCGCGGGAAGACCGCCCGCCGCCGCCTAGGGAGGACAGGTAAGAAACATGACTTGTGACTAATTTTAACGCGGCTTTACGTCGATTTCATTTAGTAATAATAATAATAAATTTATTTATTTCGACCACATACAGATCATAGTGTTAGTAAATAAGTACTTAAAAATTTAAAGGTTAGTAAGAATACAATTGGTTTGAGTTAAAATATAAAATTTAAAATAAGCATCAGCGGTCTGCCAGCACATGAATCATTGCGCAATGATTCAGGTACCGACAGTCAAACCTCGACGCAAACATGCCCAGCACGCTGTTGGAGCTGGCCTCCACCCTGCGCACCAGGGATGTGCATTTAGTGACAGATTATAGTAGGCTAAAGTCCGGTCGCCGAGCACGTAGAATTTCGTCCAATGACCCCAAGCTTCCCATCCTTATCGCTCGCGAGTAATTATATTGCTCTCGCGCTCGCATACTCACTGCGGCCGACCGTCGCACAGTCGCGACAGCACTATAATAATTACGCGCGAGCGATAAGGATGGGTAGCTTTGGGTCATTGGACGAAATTCTACGTGCTCGGCGACCGGACTTTAATGATCACGACTTGTGATATATTCGTAGGAGGCTTTTCGTCGATTTTATTTAGTGACAGATTATAGTAGGTTAATCATTACTTGTGATATAATCTTATTGAGGCTTTTCATCGATTTTTTTAGTGACACATAATAATCTTAAAAAAACAACAATCATCAGTTGGCACACTTGTCGCTTTGATAATCCACACAGCATGATGTTGAAGTGTCGCAAGCATTTTTTACATTTTAGGCTATAGGCCCATACTTCTGGTCTAAAAACATCGATAAGATTTTATCGTGGCCTGCATGGCCACGATAAAATCTATAAGCGCGATAAGCTCATACATTTGTTGACTGAAATCGTCGACAAAATTTTATCACGGCGCGCATCCTAGCCCGGCTGGTCATTTAATCTCCACTGCAGTGATACGACCCAAAATAACTTTACACCACACTATCCACGTTTTCCACTCTGCCGGAAAATTTATAAAACTTACATAAAATGTATAAAAAAGAACATAGAGCCTATTCTATACACAATGGCTTATTGCTGTTCCTTTCTAGGCGCGAGGATCGTCCCAGGGACGACAGATCGCGGGAAGACCGCCCGCTGCGGGACGACAGGCCTCGCGACGACCGGCCCAGGGACGACCGGCCTCGGGACGAAGGCGGCTGGCGCTCGGCCAACCGCGAGCCAGAGAGAGAGAGGTAAGTTTCTTATACAGGGTGGATCCTATATTCGTTGCGGGTCCAATGACAGTTTAACTTTACCTCGGGACAAACTTGGCTTTCGCTGGTTGGGTTTTTACCTTTCCCCCGGAACAAATTTGGCCTGCACTGGTTTTGTTTTTATTGGCGGTCAAGCTGTAGATCCTGGCTACACAGGAGTTGTAGCGGTGCCGCGGTGGGAAAAACAGTTGCAGCATAAAAAAGTAGTGGTTCCCATACCAAACCATAAAGAGGACGCGGTTTCGTTCTCCGCACAATACAAGCATAATATTTTAATAGAGAAACACGGGTCTCAACGCGCCAATTTTATATGAGTTACAAGCATAAGGTGTTTGAACATCGTTTATCTGTTTGTGACATATATTATTACTTTTTTTTTTGTATAAAGCTGTAAGCGTATTTTGTAGATTGTAATACCTAGTCCTCCGAAATAAATCCCATCCGTGGTTCTACATAACGACGCGTGGCCTCGGAGGTACAACAGTCGGGTGAGACGCGACAAGCCTCGCTATTTACGAGGTCTGTGTTAATTTGATCCAGGACAAGCTCTAATAACAAATAAAATTACAACATATAAATAAGACGTGCCTATAAAGCGCCATCTATCGTCATTGGTTAATTACAGCGCTGGACAAACTAATGTTTATGACGTTCGTAAATATTCATGCGGGGAAAGCCGTGAAACGCCATCTATCAACATAATATCTAACAAGTAACAACAGATTTGTACGAACTAAGGGGGCAAAACGAGTTCCACGCGTACGAAGTCGCGGGTGGCCGCTAGTTTAGTTATATACGAAAGACCAAGGTTTTCACAAATGGTTTTCTCCGTCAGGCCCCGCTACGGTGGACGGTCCAGCGGCCCTGACGCTGGCACCTGGCGCCGCGGCCCTGCGGAGCCCCCGCCGTCGGCTGTAAGTATTCACTTGCATTCTTGCTTTTTTTTTAGACTGTCACAGAAAAGGAATGTATCTTAGGCAAGGCCAAAGTCTTTTTAAAGATTTAATTAAAATGTATGTTGTGAAGGGCTTGTGGACAGGCCCCAATGAAACATCGTGTACGAGCTTGTCATAGTCAAAAACCATTTATTTTTACATGGATACAGTGTTTCACTTTAGCGGATTGCGAGAGGAAGAGAGAATGAATTAATCATAGACAAAAATACTCTTTTTAGTACAGATTATCTACACAATCAAAGATATCTTGTGTTTCTAGCAACATTAACTAAACACGTATGAGCTTTGGTTTTTTAAAGTTTGTATAGTTCTTACAAATCACGAAGGCGAGTAAGTTTTACTTGTGTGTGTACGTGTACATGCACAAAACTATAGTGTAGTGTTAGTAATGTCTATAAAAAATTTTGCAAAGCGAATAGTAGCGAGCCACCACACATTTAAAGCTCACTTGCCTTCGTGGATTGCAACAACTATAATAATCTATTTGTATACTAAATAAACCCCTTATTAATTCACAGGAGCGCCCTTCAGCCTGGCGCTCCAAGGACGGTCCGCCGCGCGACGACCGTTTCCGCGACGGTCCACGACGCGACGATCGTGACGGGCCGCGACGCGACGATCGCGATGGGCCACGACGCGACGATCGTGATGGGCCAAGGCGTGACGATCGCGATGGGCCACGACGCGATGATCGTGACTTCCGTGACCGCGATCGTTACCCGCCAAGGGACGGGCCGAGGAGGGATGACCGGTGAGTAATAATGCTTATACTCCGCGCATACCACAGACTTTAAGTCAGCCGATAGTTGGGCCCGATTCTTTTTTTTTTTGCCCTGATGGTAAGTGACGATCAGGCCGAAGGTAGAAGCGAACTTCACTCGGAATCCTCAACCACGGAGGAACTGGCTATCTTACCTCTAACTGCCGGAACACAACAAAGCTGTTAACATTGTTGTTATGGCGACAGACTTAGGTAAGTAAGATAGTGGTAGCTAGCCAGGCGGACTTAGAATAAGCCCTACCACCAACCAAACTGAACAGAAAAATCTGCCCCCACTGGGAATCGAACCCGGGACCTCTGTGTCTGAAGCAGGTCTAATTTGTATGGCTTGCTAGTAGCGAAGACAGTGGCACCAACTGGTGAGCGCTAAAGTGGTAGGAGGACTATCGCATTTGCACTCATCAAGATGGCGCCACTGTAGAGTAAGGTCCTGTCAATCGCCAGGGGTGCCAACTGTTAAGTATAAAAACGATAGCCCTCATTGGTTTATTATATTTATCACCACTGTGCTGTTTCGTTATTTCGTTTATGTTTTGTGTGGTGTACTATTAAAACATTTTATCTATCTCAGTGACGGACCACGGCGCGATGACCGCGACGGACCCCGCCGCGACGATCGCGACCGCAGACCGCCGCCGCCGCGCCGCGACGAGAAACGTGAGTACCCACACTTGTAACAACAATTTATTAACCCATCAACCTCCAAGCGATCGCATAAGATCGCGTAACAATTGATTTCTATTGTCTCGATTCGCGGGGGTTAAAGGGCTACCTAATTTGAATAAGATAATGGCGTTAGCAGCGATCCGGACAGTCAAAACTTTTGTAACTTTGCTATTTGTGTTAGATTACAGTCTTAGACTGGGTTGCACCATCTTACTCTAACTTGAACAAACGTCAAAAATCTGTCAAACTCCATACAAAAAACATCGTTATACCTAGCTACGTAGCCGATCTATACCCATTTATAATTTGACAACCTATGTACCATCGGCAACAGAGTTAACTATCCATTGCCTGTCATGTCGTCTCGTTTTATCGCAAAGAATCGCCATTTGATGAGAGCGTTAGCAAAAACGGAAATGGATAATAATTAACAGTGTGGCCGTGTGTACCTGTGGTTCACAATAAACGTATTTTGAATTTGAATTTTAGTTGCGGTTAAAGTTAGGTGGTGCAACTCAGCCTTAGTTCTTAACTGAATCAATGCTTGACGCACGTGAACGGCGCAGGAGGGTGTTTTTTGACTTCAAACGTCAGCGAGACGTCAGATGTGCTTCAAGACTAGAATACTCTGTCTAGATGTCATCCCTCTCGTGCCGCTTCCATACCTTAAGTACCGACTCAGTTATCCGCTAGCCCTGTGGTTTGCAGTGGCTATTTACTTGTGTGTTATTGCGAGAAAATAAGTATTTGTCAGCCATCGAACAGCGTGTAGTTAAACTGGTGGCTTGAGGCACAGTAGATAAATCAAACAGTACGGAAGCTTCATACAAACGCTCGAAATCAGACTAACGCACACAGACGCACGCTTTACACGAGCTCTAAGCGAACCTCGCAGTCCATCCGTCGCGAGTGTCGCGCGCGTTGTTTTTAATAATAATTTTATTGCATGTACTGTCCGCTGTATTTTTAAAAAACATGCCACGAGTGTATTGCGTAGTATGCGGCTGCTTGAACTCGGCATCAGTAAGTATCCGGTATTTTATTTATGAGAATAGAATATCTTCTACCGGCCTCTAATAGTACTTAATCAATTTATTCGATTATGTATATCATTATAGAACCTAATTAACGTTTTATTTTTTTGTTAACTACTTAGTCAATTAATTTATTCCAATAGGTATTTGATAATTAAAAAACCTAAATAAACGTTTTTAATAAATAAGTAAGCCAGAACTTTATTAATTTTATAAAGATTAAGAGTGCCAACCCTAAAACTCAGTTGAAGTGTAGGTATTTAACTCGCCGAAAGGGCTAAGTTTCCGTACTGCTTTAGCTCATATATCTACTGTGCTTGAGGCTTGAGGATCTCAGTAATAATATTTCCCTAGATGCATTTAAGGTTTAAAGCCAAATTCATAATAGTAATGTACTGGTATATTTCCTCCGAAATAAATCCCACTCGTAGTTGTCCATAACGACAGTGGTAGGCCTCGGAGGTACATCAGTCTGGAGAGACGCGACAGGCTTCGATATTCACGAGGTCTGTGTTATTTGATCCAGGACAAACACATAAAAAATATATAGCGCAACTGAGTGTCCGAGGTATGGAAGCGGCACGGAAGAGTGTTTTTAAGACTTCAAACGTCAGCGAGATTTTGACATGCTTTTGTATACCCGTGCCGCTCATACTTCAAGCAGTTATACGTTAAATCTGTAATGTCCGGTCGCCGAGCAGGTAGAATTTCGTCCAATGACCCCAAGCTACTGTCGCGACTGTGCGACGGGCGCCCGCAGCGCGCAGTGAGTGTGCGAGCGATAAGGATGGGTAGCTTGGGGTCATTGGACGAAATTCTACCTGCTCGGCGACCGGACTTTATAAGAAGGTAAAATTATCAAAAGTAGCTATATCTTTAGTAGGAATGCTTTCGGTTCGATAAATCAACGTGTGTTTTCATTTCAGCCCGCGACCCAGACGGTGACGACTGGCAGCCCGTCACCCGCCGCTAAAGGAGCCCAATGTGTCGATATTACATTATCTGTGAAGGGTTCAGTAGCATTCACTAACAAAACCTCTTTATTTTTAGACTTGAGCCAGTTCTATCGAGTGTTTGATACCTTTCAGTTAACCCTGTCGTAATACACTAATATTGATGTCAAAAGTGTCAACATAAACGATTTATGTCGATAATAGTTTCTCTTTTAAAACCACCTCAAACGAGAAACTTGAGTCGAAAAAGCCGCTGGCGGCTAAATTAGGAACTATTTTATTTCCATTGTGTGTGCTTTAATACATTTGGATTTGGAATTTATTCTTTCGCTTTTGACTTCCATTCGTGATTTGGCATTGGCATCACTGGTTTGACCAACCCAAGGGCATTAACGTGTGATTTCTATGATAGATATTACGCCAAGTACAGATACGTCATAAAAACAACTGAGTAATGCACTGATTTTGACAGCTGTCAGTGCGAAAATATGGTCAAAATATTAGGTAAAGTTGCTAAAAAGCATTTAAAATTATTTTTTCTTGCTTATTCACTTTGCGTTTCCTTTCTACTGAACCCTATTTTGTTTATCGTGTTATATTCAAGTTTGTAAGCCGCCATTCTTGTATGGAATATTACTTTGTAATCCATGCGCGGTTGTATTTCGCGCCAATATATTATTTTACTGTATGGGTGAGGGATATTTTTATTTCATTTCTATTATATTTTGTGTAACCTCCTAAGCTTCTTGTATTTTTATTTTAAAGTCATTTGCTTTGCTGGTACAGTCATTTTTAGATAGCGTCTTAAACAGGGTTTGAGATTTAGGTTGGCAAATTGTTTTGATCTCTGTCTTAAACTTTTTGACACTTCAACATGAGCTGACTATACCATTTTATAGCGAAAATGCACCTTAACTACATGAAATGCCCCATCACAAAATCAAGTATTGATTTAAATTAATTCAACTTGGTATTTATTAAAATCATGTTATTTTATATACTGAATCATGGCACAATTTATTTCGACCTGTCTCTTCATCCTGTTTGAGATAGTCAATTTCTTCTGGCATGATTGTGTGCATACTAATATTGTTTTGGAAGCACCTTAGGCTTGAATGTAGGTAGATCACAAATAAATATTAGAAATAAGATTTGCCAAATATACGTTAAAACAATACCTACATATAAAATAGGACACTCAAGTTGCGTTACCTGTTTTGTGCCCATAGCAAGAATATAAAGTTCCATTCATAATAGAATCGCGACCGCGGGTGCAACTTTCTCAGTTTAAGGGTGCATTTACAACTGTTCTGTCTAATAGAAATAATAATATTAAAAATATTAGCAAACAACCGTTACGCATGAGATATCGATATTATCATCTGTACAATCGATTAATAAACGATTATATTCTGTCAAAACATTCGGTGTTTTTGGATTGTTTGATTTTGTGGCTCCGTGCTAGCTCTATTGTGAATAATTAAGATTTATTCAATTTTGTTTTGACATGATTATTAATTATGTAATTTATTTTGTTACAGTTGACTTCTTTATTATCTGTTAGACTTTCTAGTGTCATGGTCTTCATCATTATTTCACTCAAAATCTATATTCTTGCTGCGGGCACTCATACGCGTTTCAATTCACTTGATATCATGTATCATTTGCATACTCCGTGATCGAATAGTCGATCCCGTTACTGAGAACAGTGATTACAAACACTACAGTTTGAGCGAACAATGGCTTGTCGGTGCGAAACAGTAGACCCATCAACTTGTAGCATGCTAACATCTCGAAGATGCTATGTAGACTTCGCGTTATGCTTAATAAATACTTCAATCGGGACCGTGGTGTTTTCTTTATTAGTGCTAAGTAACATTAGAATAAGTAACAATGATAGGACCACGAGGAACTAACTTTACTGGTGGTCCTACTAGTAGGAGCAGATCAACAATAATAGCACCACGAGGAACTAGCCTTCCTGGTGGTACTACTAGTAGGACCACGAGGAAACGGAAATTATTGATCCAATTTATAGGTCGCGCAACGAAAGTTGAGACAAGACGGTACTCACACAGACGTAATATTGGCATGGCGTCTGAGGACACCACACCATTCAAATATTGAATACAGTAGCTATAGATGACCCACGCTGAACTGTCCCACCAAACTCAATGACAGGGGGGCGCTACCATCGTTCAACTATATGGTTTCCAACATGGCAAAAATCTGAACCAGCGATCCGGTATTGACGGTGGCGCCCCACTGTCAATGTCATCGACAGGACAGTCCAGTATTTTGGAACTATATCTCACTCTTGCTAGAATACTGCAAGCGAGACAGAAAGCGCTTGTCAGTCAGACTACGCAACACGTCAGCGAAGAACATTATACGTTTTTACAAAAACAAATCTTTGCTCGTGTATCGCCTCAACTCTCGCTACGCGACCTAAAATTCCGGTGTATATTTAATTGAATTTACCAGCTACTTATGAGCATACAATAATTATTACGGATTAAGGTAGACGTAATTTAATGTGAAAGTTCTGATTGCAAAAGCATGAACAGGTTTTCAAACAATCTCTAGAACACTTCAAAACCGAAATGGTAGAGGTTAGGTATTGCAAGTGCCTTTCTCTTAGTAAAAGCACTTAAGGGTAGAAGCAAAAAGATACATAATAATCACCATAAGACTGCTTATGACGACATGCAGGTGACACCGTGGCGACCAAGTAGTTTATTGCGAACTACATGTATTTAGGTTTGCCAGGTCCAAAAACAATAAAGCCGGACTCTGTTCTTCATTTGGCCGGACATTTTACCTAACAAAAGCCGGACAAGTCCATAAAAAGCCAAACATGTCCGGCTAAAGCCGGATACCTGGCAACCCTAAATGTATTACAGCTGCGAGTTCGAATTCCGCCGAGGGAAAAAATGTATTTCTTTGACAGTGTAATAATGTCCTAAACAAACTGAAAACAATACACGAAGTGCTTTCAATATCTGTCTCACCTAAGTATGTCTCGAACCTAGGAAGCGAGATGTCTCAAGACCGATACAATGAAACACCAAGCCATGGAAGCTACTGAAAAAGTAAGTACGTATTCATAACTATACTGCTCTAAAGTCTGACGCCCGTATTCACGTGAAGCAGCAAATAGAACGCACAGCGTTGAATAGAGCTCTGTGATTGGTTCATGTCATTAATCACACCGTGCGTCTAAGCGCACTGTGAGACCTCATAGTAATGTTTGTGAATATGGGCGTGAGATTAGTTCTTAAAATCTGATAATTCTTATAAGTACGTAATCGTCAATTTACATAAGTTAACAATTAACACAACGAAAAGTATCGCGAGGAAACGGCGAGTTACCATGATGAGCGGCGTCCGCCTGCGTGATCTACTTTCCTACAATAATCGGACACAAATTGAGCTGCAGCATGCAAAACTACGGCAAACCTTAAACACTTCATTACGTACAAGGAGTTAAATTCAGGTTTCAAGATTGCCACTATAATTATAGACTAGAGATGACGACCGACACGGTAAGGTGTATGCAATAGCACAGCCAAATGTGGTTGTCTTTCAAAAAACTACAGTTAGAGTCCTGTTGTGGTCCTTCCAGCCATTTCAGTATTAAAGAAAACGAATTCTACCAACGTTATCGCAGCAAAACCATTTTTACCTCTAGGGTCTAGCTCTTCTTCGTCGTTCTACACTCTTGGCAGAGTGATCGTGGTCGTCACAACTGGCTTGGTGGCAAGCTTCACAATCCGTCGCCATTCCTCCCGCATTGCAACCTTTTGTGTACACTCGTGCTCTAGGTGGATGCAAAGTATACAAAGTTGTAACGTGCATGTGGATTGAGTGATCCTTTCTTCAATCTTAACAACAATCGAGGAAGGTTTAATTTAGTTAAAATATGTTAAAACATTACGGTGAAGTGAAAAATACTCGTAGGTTTGAAATTATAATATTGTCAAAATTATAATTGTTTAAGAGTATGCATGCAACAATATTAACGTTTCAGTTGTTTTCGAACAAATAATTTTTATACAGTAGCCAAATGTCGATAGCCAGTATGACGCTCATTGCGGCGCGCTCGCACTGTACTGCGTCTAAATCAAAAACCAATACAGACTCCATTCTACAACTTTACACACGTTATTTATAGACTACTAGGTATGTTTTAAAATAAAATTAAAAATACCGAAGTTTTGTAAAATTCGATTTTAAAACTTTACTTCCGGTTTTCTATGTGAACAAAAAAGAAATTTCAAATTTGTAGTAAATAGTAAGAAACACAGTTATTTATTCTCAAAAGTCCAATAGTCAGTTTGTTTTTAATCAAATGTAATAATAGCAGTAATAGCTTCAGAAAAATCTGTTCCTAAAATTTTACCAATTTTTTGAACGCTCATAACCATCTCAATGCCAACAATCATTGTCTGTTAGACGGTACGAAGTTCGCCGAGTCAAAATTATAATTGTTTAAGAGTATGCATGCAACAATATTAACGTTTCAGTTGTTTTCGAACAAATAATTTTTATACAGTAGCCAAATGTCGATAGCCAGTATGACGCTCATTGCGGCGCGCTCGCACTGTACTGCGTCTAAATCAAAAACCAATACAGACTCCATTCTACAACTTTACACACGTTATTTATAGACTACTAGGTATGTTTTAAAATAAAAATAAAAAAAAATAAAAATACCGAAGTTTTGTAAAATTCGATTTTAAAACTTTACTTCCGGTTTTCTATGTGAACAAAAAAGAAATTTCAAATTTGTAGTAAATAGTAAGAAACACAGTTATTTATTCTCAAAAGTCCAATAGTCAGTTTGTTTTTAATCAAATGTAATAATAGCAGTAATAGCTTCAGAAAACTCTGTTCCTAAAATTTTACCAATTTTTTGAACGCTCATAAAAAATAAACTAAGCTTCATAAAAAAATTATAATGATGCACATCCATTCAGGTCATATAGCAGTACCTACATTTAATCCAAATATGAACAAAATCCAAAACCTGACTTGATTTTCGCTGTCCGCTTCGCGTGAAATGCCCCAATACTCAAATAAAATAGACAACGTGGGTAACATTCATTCATCAATCAATTTAAGTATTGGTTTCATCTTATTTTCCTGAAATTAAAGGCGGATCAAACAATAATGTTTTCGTATCTTTCTGAAAGAAACCAAAACATCCATATTCTGGGAATGTTGTTGTTTGGAATGCAAACTCGCCATTAATCGACACTTTTCAGAATCTTCCATTGAAAATGGATTCAAACATGTACAAATATTTCTATTTATTACGTAATCTAATTTAAATAAGACTAGCTTTCCGCCCGCGGCTTCGCCCGCGTGGAATTTTGTTTTCACAGAAAAACTTTACCGTGCGCTTCCCTGTTTCATAAACCGGGATAAAAACTACCCTATGTCCTTTTCCGGGGCTCAAACTATATCTATGCCAAATTTCATCAAAATCAGTTCAGTGGTTTAGGCGTGAAAGCGACACAGGCAGACAGAGTTACTTTCGCATTTAACCATAAAATCTTTTTTGGATCCTTAACTGTGATTGTAACTATGTAAGGTGGCAACTAGTGGTGACTGAGTTTGTTCCGGCGTTTCTTCTCAGCACTTGTCATAATGTTTGTCTTGAAGCGCTGATAGGGCCCTAAAGTTACATATTTTTTATTTGATTTGTTGTACTAGTTTTTTCATCGTAACTTCGTATTAGTTAATATTCCAGGTGGTTTTTTAACAAAAACGTTTACTCACAAAAGGAAGTTTAGAAGAAGTTAGCACTTAGCAGTCGAACATACGTCAGTCACTCAGCACGCAATTACCCAATTTTTTATATGAGGGACCCCAATGGCGTAGTGGTGACGCCTTCTTAAAATCGTCGGTCTCAGGTTCGATTTGATTCCTGGTTAGGTTAGATTAGTGAATCAATGCTGTGTTCAATATCCAAAAGAGCATAATTAGACTGTTTAATGTTTAAGTATTGGATCACTACTTACATGTTTAAATTTTAGAAAAAACCGTGCTCAAGGTCTTGCACCCCTGTGGGACCGGTAATATTTTATACTGCCTTTTTCATTTGGTTATGAAGCTTATAATTGTAACTTATTTGCTTTAATAATTCTCATCCACAAGCAATTAAAAATATTTTTTTTATTAAAGCCCACTTTCACTACTCTATATTTTTCGTCTCTCTCATACAACTCTTTCGAGTTAGATAATAACATTTACTGTTCAACGATTCTTCAAAAATATTATTTCCAGAATGTATCCTTTTTGCTTTAAAGGCTCTCCGCAAACCTCACGAGTACGTTGCACAAAAAGAAATGGCGACCAAACACAAACAGCCTGTCTCCAATGCTCTATCGCGNTAAAATTAAAAATACCGAAGTTTTGTAAAATTCGATTTTAAAACTTTACTTCCGGTTTTCTATGTGAACAAAAAAGAAATTTCAAATTTGTAGTAAATAGTAAGAAACACAGTTATTTATTCTCAAAAGTCCAATAGTCAGTTTGTTTTTAATCAAATGTAATAATAGCAGTAATAGCTTCAGAAAACTCTGTTCCTAAAATTTTACCAATTTTTTGAACGCTCATACAAAATAAACTAAGCTTCATAAAAAAATTATAATGATGCACATCCATTCAGGTCATATAGCAGTACCTACATTTAATCCAAATATGAACAAAATCCAAAACCTGACTTGATTTTCGCTGTCCGCTTCGCGTG